CAGATGATGTGGTCCTGTTGGCTTCATCAGAAAGTAATCTTCAGCTTTCGCTGGAGCGGTTCGCAGCCGAGTGTGTGCGACTCCGCAGCACAGCCTGACCAAGGTTACACACACACATGTAGACAGAACAGATACAGGCAGACCACGAGAGCAGCCATAACTGTGCTCATTTCAATTAGATGAAAAGGGGATTACATGAGGATAAATTGGGGGAGGGAAAACAGGCATACAAGAGTTACACCCAGCAGGGCGCAGCTTTACTATGCAAAAAACGCCTCAAACATATGAGCACGAACATCAACAGTTCACAACATGAGACACCGATAGGAAGGCGGGGGGGGGGGGGGGGGGGGGGGGGGGGGGGGGCTGGGATCCTGTTTCCCCAGCGATAGCAGCCCTGTATGGCGCTCATCCACTGTAGCCACAGGTGGGAGGGAGATCTTGGGAGGAATGCAGAGCACATTGACACCTGCAGGTTGATGACCTCGCCAGGCTGAAGTCCACCAATGTGAAGGCGGGGGGGGGGGGGGGGGGGGGGGGGGGTAGGTCGGGTTTTCACAGCATCTGTCTGCATTCCTTCGTGGGGTTTGTTGTTGGCATCTCAAGGCTGCCATAGCGTCAGATTCGGATAACAAGACTTTGTTTGGGTCAGGCTGAGATAATTTTCCTCTCTGCCTTCAGTCTGTAACTGATCATTCAAGTCCTCCAGTGAAGCCAATTTAAATTTTAAACATCTCCACACCGTCCAGTGACCCTCTCCGAGATGACATCCATTTGCGCACTAACTTCGGTATCGCAGCTAGAACATTGTCCAGCTTGCGATTCACCTCGAGTAGCATCCCAGTCTGTGAGGTCTCCAAAAGGACGGTGCTCTTCGTGGGTGTGGGTCGCCCTCCAATCGCTCCTGTCTTCCCAAATTTCCAGAAAACCAGATATCCTCCCACTCCAATCAGAAGAAATCCAGTGATCATCAGGCCAGACATCCACCCGTCTTCAACGTCCTCAATGGACATCTGGGAGAGCCATACGATCTTCCACTCTTTCCAGGAATCCATCATATATCCTGCTGGGTGTGTCCCTTGTGGGCAAGTGGGAGCCCCCTGCTCCGTTCTAATCGTTGAAAAATCTTATCAATTGCGTTGAATGACCAATTTATCAAATCCATTCCTAAAAAATAGGGTGTTTCAGAAGAAGTGCAGAGAAGCATTCTGTGGGCAGACAGGACAAAGAGCCTTGGGAAAAAAGATGAGGGAGGAAAAAAAGAAGCATGTGTTCTCTGCGACTGCCGGAAAAGAAAGTGAATATATATATTTCAAGAAAGAAAAGAAAAGATATATATATATATATATATATATATATATATATATATATATATATATATATATATATATATATATAATGTCACATAGCATTCATGGACTTGTCTCTTGACTCACGACAGGGAAGGCTGTTGTTGGTTTAGGGTCCAGGAAACAGCAGACAATGTGTCCAAAGATCTAAGCTAACCGTTAGCATTAGCTACTTCAGGCCAATCCTCAACTCTGATGTGGCTAATTTCTACTTCCTGAAACTGTTCCAGAGTTCTTTTTCCCCAGAGTACGACTTACAAGGCCTTCATTACTACTAGAGACCACTGCAAATGTATTGATTAAACAAGGGATCCCCATATTTAAAGAGCTCATAATAAAATTAGATGGTTGAATTGTTTCAGAGTTCTTGAGCTGCTAATGACCTCTGACAAATAACTAGATGCTTTCAAGTGCTTAATTAGTAATTGTTCAAAAATATATCTATTTATGTCAAGCTTTTAAACACCATCGTTGTTATTGATTTATCTGAAGATCTGAATAAAGATGTACTGAGGGAGAGAATGCATTCATCTAGAAAACATTTAGTAATTATTTAAAGATGCAAGCCTTAATAAACTTTAGTTATTTTTATTGCACAAATTAATTAATGCACGAGAGAGCTTCAATGCAGAAACCACACAAAGACATTCTTTCTGTTTTACAATGAGTTCAAACATTATAAATTAAAAAACATAACTATTTATTTACAGATTCAAAGTGTTTGTGTTGATATATTTTGAAAATAAATATAACAATAAATATATAAATAGTCTAAAACATTATGGAGTTCATGCAGTTTAAGATGACTTTTGAATTAGCTATCTATCTATGCATCCACTAGGACATAAAAGTTACATACATATAAACACACATCTTTAGTTTTCTTTTTCCCTCTTTTGCTGTTTGTCAGTATGAAAAGCAAAGCACAGCTTGGGTTAGACAAGTTGACTTGAAGGTGATCAGCCAGGTAGACAGTCTTCGCTAAGAGACACTCAAATCATGGAGTTCTTCAGTCTGTCAAAGATCTGTTGGACTTTGATAGCAGGGACACAGCCTTCTCTCACAATGGTGATGACTCCTGAACGAAGGTTAGAAGAGCTTCAGTTAGAAACTTGACCTTAAACAACCCCAGTAGGAAGAAATCATGGCCCCTTACCTTCATCAATCCTCAGGCAGTTGACCACAGTTGAAGCAACTACTTCATTCGAGTCACCATCACAAAGTACTCCTTGGATCTTGTGTCCCAGTCGACTGCAGCAAAAGAAGCAGTTTGAAACAGTAATTAGTGTATGGTGCTAAAAGTTTTAGAGATGTGTTGTTTGTTAGTTTGCATTAAACTTCTTTGAGGAGACTCTTACTTAATGACCATGCTGTGGTGGGTGCTGTCTGATTCTCCACTGGGATTGGCTGATGTTATGGCCAGGGGTCCAGTGATGTCACATAGGTTGGAGGTCACGGTGTGGTCTGGGACACGGATCATGATGCTGTCTCTGGTACCAACACGGTCATAAGCAGGTCCAACTCCTACAGAAATGAGGTTAAAGTTCACGTAAAAACTGAATACTGATACAGAATTCTGCCACTCAACATTCAAACACTCTGCACTGCTGACCTAGTCTGTAAAGCCAGTCTCCTTTGCTGACAATGCAGCTGATGCCTCCAGGATACACATTCCTCATGAACTCCCACAGCAGAGGGCTGAAAGGAGGCCTGGCTGCAACCAGCTGTTCCACACTGGAGATGCAAATGCATATAGGCTTCTCTGCAGGTCTGTCCTGCAAAAGGTCCAATTCAACAAGATGGTGACTTCATGAAAATGTATATTGCTGTTAAACAAGCTTCCTCTATCTTCTTACTTTAATGTTGTAGATTTTTTCTATCGCCTGAGGATTCTTGCAGGAAGCAGCCAGAGCGTACACAGTATCTGTGGGAATACCACACACACCCCCGTCCTCGAGAAGTCGAGCTATCTTCAACAGACCGCTGGTGAGACGCGAGCTAGCCACCGGACAGGACGGCTCGTCACAAGCTTCCTGTTTCACATTTTCCTAAAACAAAACACACACACATTTTTATTAATTATTCACGCTGATTCTTAAAGGTAGGCCAATCTAAACTTCAGTCATTACCTTTATTATGGGAGGACCCATTGGGATCACTCTTTGTGAGAAGATGCAGTTCATCAGTAAAGCCAAGGTGCCATAAAAGCAAATGATGGATACCAATGCAAGCATGGCAACTGCAATACATCGTTTCTGGATGTTAGACTTTATTTGTTCTGATGAGAGTCAGTATCGTAAATACATAAAGTTTATAACAGGCGGTTTTAACTCACTTTCAAGTTGGTATGGAAGTCTGTGCAGGGTGGAGAGAAGGAAGCAGACAAGAACAACCTCCATGATTGTTGTTAGAAACAACAGAACCACGTTCCTATAAGCAGCTAATAGAAGAAACAAAAGTACAAAATTATGAATGAATAAAAACTGTGAATTCCAGCGCTGAAAGCAGATACTAGACCTTACCAATCAGCATGAGGAAGGCATTATTGACCAGTAAAGCAACGCCTCCAGCTGTGAATCCATAGGCTGCCTGGAGTGTTAACATTCCTAACACTCCTGGTTCTCCATAGAAACTGGCAGGAAACCCGTCTGCTGTCATGGTGCTTCTGTAGACAATCCAAACATATGATAAAAGTCTAAAATGGTAATCGTCAACAACAACATTAATATAAGAATTTTTAAAGGAACCAATGAAAGATTGAGCATAATATAATATAATATAATATAATATAATATAATATAATATAATATAATACGGTCCTTGCCTGTCATAAGTAGGCTGAGCCACTCTTGTCATGTAACTAATGTAAAAGTCATTTATTACGACGCTCCTCTAACAGGCTCTCTGAAGAGGAAGAATTTATTCTAAATGAAAACAATTTTCTCAATAGAATAATACCCCTAACATTACTGTTATTTTCATGTTGTTGAAAAACTACAGGATATTGCAATAATAGTTTTAATATTTATAAATAAACTCTTGTCAGGGAGCATCCTTTATGCAGATTTAGGTCTGATTCAATCTACAAAGCAGAGTATATAATAATCTAGCTATAGGTTTAAGGATCTTTGATGGGTGACATGCAGAAACAAAATATTTACTCCTGTCAGCAATAAAAGAAAGAACAAAGTTTTACCTGTTGAAGTTGTTCAGACTGATGGAAAGCTGAGTTGTGCTGAAGGAGGGACGGAGGTTTGCCTTAAATATGATCTGTTTGTGTAAAGGAGGAGTTACTGAGAATTCCCCACTCTGTCACACAGCAGCATACTTACAGGTGACATCACTGCCTTTCACTTTACACAAAAGTGGCTTTTCCTCCTTCTTTCTCCTTCCTCCCCCTCAAGGCTATTGATGATGGTGAACGTTACACCACAGATAATGACCCGGGTGGAAAAGCCTCATTCTGATGTGATGCAGGATTGCAAAAGGAACCTGCCCTTCCTGCTCCTTTGGTGTTTCCGGTCATTGTAAGTCCTGGACTATATAAGGCAGGTGGATTTTCAGCCACAAAAGCATCAGCATCCTTCACTGCTCAGCTGCTGCATCCAAGAGAAACAAGAAACAAGATCATTGTGACAGAAAGTTGAAGTCATGTTCTCCACGTTACAGGTAAGATTACAGACATATTTATGCTTTTAGTCAGTTTTCAGACTCTAAAAGTGATGGTTTTAAGTCCTTTTCAAATAAAGAAGTCATAAAAATATCTAAAAGTAGAGGTTTGTAGTGCGGCCAAGGCAGGGAACTATAAAATAACTCCTGCTAATTGTTGAGGAGAACACTCATGCTGGGAAACACCTGTTACACCTCTACACTGGCTCTTTCAAACACAAACATTAGATTAAAGACGTGAACAAGTAAATGCAGGAACTCATCAGCCTGTAGTCATCCTGAGATGTGAAAAATAACTGAAATGCTTTGTTCTGATTTATGTTTTGTCCCAAAGAAAACCATCAGACCAGTGCGGGCTGCCAGAAGACTGCATAACACTGCAGTGGAGGGTAAACAGATATGCTGACTTTGATTAATAATAATAATATTAACCTTAATTAATAACCTTTATTAAACAACTTTTATCTTTTCATTCCTGCAGTCCAGAAGCACCCAGCCCCAGAAGATACGGTCACAGCCAGTTTTGGGAAGTTCATCAGTGAAATAAAGCCTCAGCATTTGTCTCCGGTTGTGCTCCATCGCAGCAAAAGGATGGTGCTGGACAGCATCGGGGTCGGACTGATAGGGAGCAGGACAGATGTGTTTGAGCTGGCTCTTCAGTTCTGCCAGGTGAGGCAAGGTGAAAGTCTGAGTCAGGTCCAACCCAAATATGTCCAGAACAGATGAGTGAATGTAGGGTTGTTTCTGTGTTTGTTCTTAGCACATGTATGCTCCGGATCACATCAGCTCTGTGTACGGACGCAGAGGGATCAGACTCTCCCCAACACTGGCAGCTTTCGTTAATGGAGTAGCGGTGAGAAACATAAGTGGAAAACAACCATATATAAATAACCACATAAACATCAGTGGAAACATTTTGTATAAACAGCTTTTCTCAGCTGTTGGTGCAGCGTGGCTCCCAAAGGCCACAGGGTTAGGATATAGAAATAAAATCAGCTGAGCTGGCCTTAAAGTTTCCCATCAAATATTTCCAAAGAAGCTACTTTCTTCCCCCTCGATGGCCTGATTTAGGAATGAAAGTCATTTTTCTTTTGAAAACACACCAGGAACAGAAAACATGTCAGTGTTCACTTCAGAAAAAAACATAAAGAAGTGGATCATTCAGACACGGCACAGGCAAGGTGTTCATAGCTGGGTTCTGATCTAGTTATTACCCTCACAGAAAAAGTTTTTATTCTGACTCCTTTCAGCTTCAGTATGATGAGACACAAACTCTGGTTGCTTCCAGACTCATTCCATGGACTTTGACGACACGTGGCATCCAGCCACTCATCCCTCAGGAGCTGTTCTCCCAGCTTTGTTTGCTCTCAGTGACATGATGCCGGCTAACAGCAAACCAAGCGGTCTGGACTTTTTACTGGCCTTCAATGTCGGCATTGAGATCCAGGGCCGTCTGATGAGGTTCTCTAATGAAGCACGCAGCATTCCCAAGAGGTCAGTGCCTCACAGCACAAGTCAAGCTTGAACCAGAAAGTCTGGTTTTAGCACAATCTTCATGAACACGTTCGTTTAAAGACGTCCTTGTTTGACTGTGCTGATCTCAGCACTGAGGTGTAAGAGGCCGTTTTAGTGATGTCAGTGTAATGATGCGTACTGTAGGAACAGCAGGGGCTCTTGGTGTAACGTTAACAGAATTAGCACAAACCAAACCCTTCATCTGGTGGGTGTTTTAGAAACTCAGGTGACCTGAAACGAGTTAAATCAATTCATCTTGTTCTAAAGATTCAACCAATAGAAACATTCTTAAGTGGTGATGCAGATCAGTGATTGTTTCAGTTACAACAGAATAAATGTCCTAACTGTGTGTGTGTGTGTGTGTGTGTGTGTGTGTGTGGGGGGGGGGGGGGGTGTGTGTGTGTGTGTGTGTGTGTGTGTGTGTGTGTGTGTGTGTGAACAGGTTCCATCCTCCCACTGTGGTGGGTCCTATGGGAAGTGCAGCAGCCTGTTCTCGTCTCCTGTCTCTGGATCCGTCTCAGTGCAGTCATGCCTTGGCTATAGCAGCTTCTCTAGCTGGAGCTCCGATGGCTAATGCTGCCACTCAGTCCAAGCCCCTTCACATCGGCAACGCCTCTCGTTTGGGGATTGAAGCTGCTCTACTGGCCTCCAGAGGCCTAGAGGCCAGTCCTCTGGTCTTGGATGCTGTTGCAGGAGTGGCGGGCTTCAGCGCCTTTTATGAAGATTATGTTCCTCAGCCTTTAGAGTCACCTGATGGTGGTGGACATGTGTTCCTGTTAGAGGAGCAGGACATGGCTTTTAAGCGTTTTCCTGCCCATCTGGGGATGCACTGGGTGGCTGATGCTGCAGCTGCGGTCCATGAGCTCCTTGTGGGACATGGTCTAGGACAGGTGTCCCCACATCAGGTCCAGGACATCCTGCTCAGGGTCCCCCAGTCTAAATACATCAACAGGCCTTTTCCCGAGTCAGAGCACGAGGCACGCCACTCCTTCCAGTTTAACGCCTGCAGCGCTCTGCTGGACGGTGAGGTGACCGTGCAGTCCTTCAGCCCGCCTGCCATGAGCCGCCGAGAGCTGCACTTCCTGCTAAGCCGTGTTCGCATGGAGCATCCTGAGGACAACCCCGCCAATTTCAACCGCATGTACGGAGAAGTCCAGGTGACTCTAGTTGGAGGAGACATCCTGAAGGGCCGCTGTGACACCTTCTACGGCCACTGGCGCAACCCGCTGACAAACGAGAGCCTGAGCAAGAAGTTCAGAAGCAACGCAGAGGTGGTGCTGCCATCAGAGAAGGTGGAGCGGCTGGTGGAGGTGGTGGAGGAGCTGGACAGGCTGGATGATTGTGGAGCTCTTCTCTCACAGCTGCAGTGATCAGTAATACTGAACAATAAAGCAACAATCCTTCAGCATAGAAATAAGAATAATATTATTTTTATATTAATGTTCTTAAATGATCTGCTTAATGTAGACTGGAAATAAACACATTGTCATGTTTTTCCTCTGGAGTTTTCCTCAAGCTGATGTTTCCTCTATTGTTCAATATTGTCTTTTGGTATTGAATTCTGTTTTTATCGTAACAAAATTCAGATAAAAACATGACTCGTGTGTGTGAGTCATATTTATTGTTTAATGCCTGTTTTTATATTAATATTGTTAATCTAAGAAAATGTGTTTCTTGCAACCTTTTCTCAAAATGTGTACATGATAAAGTGTTTCAAACATGTAAAACACATGGTCATAAAGTCACCTGTGTGTGTGTGTGTGTGTGTGTGTGTGTGTGTGTGTGTGTGTGTGTGTGTGTGTGTGTGTGTGTGTGTGTGTGTGTGTGTGTGTGCTCTGTCTTCTCAATCTCCAGTGGTTCATGGCGGATGGCTCCAGGATTCTTTGCAAATTTCATCCTGTTACATAAAAAATTGGATAACTCTAAACTTTCTGCTTTTAAATCAAGACTGAAGTTCTCATTTTTGGACCGGAACTTCAGAAAAGGAAATTGTTTAGCCAATCATCTGACCTGAACAGCATTAAATTAGTCTCAGAGAACAAAGTAAAACCTTAGTGTCTTCGACCAGGACTCTCACGTTAAACTGGTTTGTAGGATTTCCTTTTTTCACCTTTGGAATATTGCTAAGATTAGATGCATCCTTTCCAGGAGTGATGCTGAAAAACTAGTTCATGTATTTATTACATCAAGACTGGTTTACTGTAATTCATTACTCTCAGGAAGTCCACAGAATGTAGTTAAAAGTCTTCAGCTTGTCCAAAATGCTGCAGCTGGAGTACAATAAACTTTATTGTATTTATCCTAGTGGATCTATAATTAAACGGATAAACTAGTATTAGCACATCCAACGTCAAGGAAAGCAAAAAGCCATTATCAGGAGAGGGAGAATGTTTTAGTGGTTAGCAGCAGTGTGCTAGTCGATGGCCCCCTCCATGAGGCCACCACAGCTCAGCAGAATGTCGTTGTAGCTTCTTCTGGGGAGAAAAACACTTACAGAGAAAATAAAGTTAGCAGCTGAAATTGCAGAAAATAGTACAGTTAAAGAGCAGACTGTAGAAGAAAGCAGTAGAGTGTGAAAAGTGGTCAGTGTATCCTCCAGCAGTCTAAGCCTATAGCAGCATAACTACAGAGATAACTCTGGATAATCTATCCTATTTAGATGGAGGCATGTTGGAGTCAGGGCAAGGGAGAGCCGTCTTTACCGACTGAACACTCCACCTCCCTGTACTCCCCCACTTTTCCAGATTTAGCCTAACATCAGATTTTAACCATAGGCCCTATCAAATAAAAATGTTTTAAGCCTATTCTTAAAAGTAGACAAAGTGTCTGCCTCACGGACTAAAGCTGGGAGCTGGTTCCACAGGAGAGGAGCCTGATAACTAAAAGATCTGCCTCCCATACTAATTTGAGATATTCTGGGTACCACCAGTAGACCTGCAGTCTGAGAGCGAAGTGCTCGGTTAGGAACGTATGGAACAATCAGATCACTGATGTATGATGGAGCTTGATTATTAAGAGCTTTATATGTGAGAAGGAGGATCTTAAAATCTATTCTGAATTTAACAGGTAGCCAATGTAGGGAAGCTAAGACAGGAGAGATATGATCTCTCTTTTTAATTCTCATCCGAACTCTAGCTGCAGCATTTTGGACAAGCTGAAGACTTTTAACTACATTCTGTGGACTTCCTGAGGGTAATGAATTACAGTAAACCAGTCTTGATGTAATAAATACATGAACTAGTTTTTCAGCATCACTCCTGGAAAGGATGCCTCTAATCTTAGCAATATTCCGAAGGTGGAAAAAGGAAATCCTACAAACTTGTGAAACCTGAGATTTGAATGACATGTCCTGGTCAAAGATAACACCAAGGTTTCTTACTTTTTTCTCGGAGATTAATGTAATGCCATTCAGGTCAGGCGATTGGTTAAGCAATTTCATTTTCTGGATTTCTGGTCCAAAGATGAGAACTTCCGTCTTGTCTTGATTTAAAAGCAAGAAGTTTAGAGTCATCCAACTTTTTATGTCCTCAAGACAAGCCTGTAATCCACCCAACCGATTAGGTTCATCAGGGTTAATGGATAAATATAGCTGAGTGTCGTCAGCATAACAGTGGAAGTTTATCCCATGCTGTCTAATGATTTTACCAATTGGGAGCATATATATAGTTAAAATAATTGGTCCAAGCACTGAACCCTGTGGTACTCCGCAAGTAACCCTGGAGTATGAAGACGATTTGTCATGTACATTTACAAAATGAAATCTGTCAGACAGGTAGGATTTAAACCAGCCTAGCGCTGTTCCTTTGATCCCTACAACATGTTCAAGTCTTTCTAAAAGAACATTGTGATCAACTGTGTCAAAGGCAGCACTGAGATCTAACAAGACTAGAACAGACACAAGATTCTTATCTGAGGCCATGAGAATATCATGTGTAACTCTCACTAATGCAGTTTCAGTGCTGTGGTACTCTCTAAAACCAGACTGAAATTCCCCAAACAGAGCATTGGTGTTAAAATGCTCACATACTTGGATGGCCACTATTTTCTCCAGGACTTTGGATAAAAATGGAAGGTTAGATATTGGTCAATAATTCATTGGGTCATCTGGATCCAAAGAAGGCTTCTTAAGTGAAGGTTTGATTACAGCAACCTTGAAATCTTGTGGTACATACCCATTTACTAAGGATAGAATGATTATATCTAGAATGGGGGCAGTAACCAAAGGAAATGCATCTTTAAATAATTTGGTTGGGATTGGATCCAAAATGCAAGTTGAAGGTTTAGATGAAGCTAATATTTTTGATAACTCTGAAAGCTCAACTGGATCAAAACGGTTCAAGCACAGATGAGGTTCTACAGTCACCTCTGATGCTGCCTCACTTACTGAGGAAGAAGAAATCGCATTAGGGAGGATGCTAAAGATTTTGTTTCTAATAGAATGAATTTTACTTGTAAAAAAATCCCATGAAGTCATTGCTGCTGAGGACTAAGGGAATAGATGGCTCAGAGCTATGATTCTGTGTGTTATGACCTCTGTGTTCCTGGGCTCCATTTTAACCACCGCACCAAGGACAGCTCCTTGCTCCGGCCCCGCTGTGACAGGATCAGCACCATGGAGAGAGGCACGCTGAGCCGCACCCTTCCTGCTGGCCCGCTGCCACCAGCTGGAAGCAATCCATGCTCATCAGGGCTTCTTATAAAGGAAGAGAAGAGAGTGGTTGAGAAGGTGAATGGAGTTGAGACGGGGTTGAGAAGGAGAGCGGTGAAAGGTTGTTGAGGAGTTTCCAGTGAGAGTTCGATGAGAAGTCAGTGAGAGGTTGCAGACAGTGCGCTTGTGGAGAAAGGACGGAGGTTGGAGCTGCCTGAAAGAAAAGAAGTTTGAGAGAGATGTGAAGGAGCGCTTGACAGAGTCGTGTAAAGGAAGAGGATTCCAATCACCGAGTACAGGAGTTTCGAGCTGCTGAAGGAGTGCCGAGCTGAGCTGCGAAGGAAAGCAGTGTAAAGAAATGGAGAGTTGCAGCCGGAGATCGTGGAGACAAGTGAACTAAAGACTACAGATGACACGAGGATCTTTTCTGGAGGAAACCCATTCCCTGAGAGAGAGAGAGAACGGGAGAGCGTGAGACGCCGGCCACGTTAGGAGCAGCACAGGACTAAAAGGAGGACAAGTACACAAAACAGGAGGGTATTATCCGAGCTTGAGGGGGGCTTTGCCCTTGTCTTCAGTTATTATAGACATTATTATTTCCAAAGACTTTATTTACACCCTCCTGGGAAAATTTTAGTTAATAAACTCCTTTTGAACTTTATATTGTCTTCGTGTTTGCTCCCACCACACTTGTGTTGCCCCTCCTGGTACTCCTAGGCCGGGAGGGGTGTAGCACTGTGTAAGTTTAGCAACTGTACTGAAAAAAAATTTAGGATTATGCTTATTCTCCTCAATTAGTGCTGAAAAATAAGCAGTTCTAGTTTGTCGAAGCTTATTTTTATAAAGCACAAGACTATTTTTCCAGGGTAGGTAGGCCTCCTCATGGTACGTGAAGCGCCATGCTCTCTCCAATTTCCTAGAGTTTTGTTTTAAGGCTCGTAAATGAAAATTAAACCAGGGAGCCAACTTCCTGTCCCTAATTACCTTCTTTTTAAAGGGGCTACATCATCTAATGCCACACGTAAAGAGGAATTAGCATGATGAACTAAGGCATCAATTTGTGAGGGGCTAGAACTGAAAATATTGCCCTCTGCTACGTTCCTCTGAGATGCTGAGGACAGTAAAGATGGAACAGTTGATTTAAAAGACGCAACTGCGTTGTCAGAGACCGACTATAGTGAAATTTACTTTCATGTCTCGAGAACTCAGTTATAAAAAACTCAAAGGTTATCAGAAAGTGGTCAGAGAGGACTGGATTATGTGGAAAGATTGTTATTTCCTTCCACTGTATGCCATAAGTCAGCACAAGGTCTAATGTATGATGGCAGGAGTGGGTAGAGCTATGTATTCTTTGAGTAAAACCAATTGAGTCTAAGATATTACTAAAGGCTACATTGAGGCTATCATTTTCAATGTCCACGTGAATATTAAAATCCCCCACTACAATGACCTTATCAGTATTTAGCACCAAATCAGATAAAAAATCTGAGATCTGATCCAAAAACTCAGAGAAAGGGCCTGGTGGACGATATAAAACTACAAACGAGTGGTTTTACAGTTTTGCAATCTGGATTAGGAAAACTAAGAATAAGATGTTCAAGCGAACTGTAACAATTAATCTGTAAGGGACTGATTAATAAGTCAGAATGAAAAATAGTTGCCACTCCTCCTCCTCGCCCTGTACTTCGAGCAATATGATGATTTAAATAATTTGAAGGAGTCGACTCATTTAAGCTAACATAGTCCTCTTGCTGCAGCAAGGATTCTGTGAGAGAGAGCAAAGAGATCTGATTATCGCAAATCAAGTCATTAACTAACAAAGTCTTAGAAAAAATTGATCTAATGTTCAACAACCCACATTTAATTTTTCTAGTTTTCTGCTCAGTTAAATTTGTTCTAATATTTATGAGATTTCTATGATTTGCTTTATTAAGCCTGATATTTAATCTGTGTGAT